CTATATTACTTGCCCTTCTGTTTTGGAGCTCTCTGCCATGGCGATTTGTGGTAAAGAAGGAATTGAGAATGGTTTGCTAAAGCAGTGTTATGTAACAATGGGTCAGGGCACAAGATTGACTAATAGGCATGCATGGGGCTAATGGATGCTACTATGAGAAATCTCCAATTAAAGGCACAGTGGAACATTAGCACACCTAGAGTGAAGCACCATGAGGACACGTGTCTGAAAGAACTACAGTAATTGCACAGGGTGAATAACTGTTTCTTCAGATACCATAGTGATAGGAACAATATAATAGCCTAAATAATATCTGTCTTGGATACTAAAGGAAGTAATGACTATTGAGTAGCATAAGTGAATTACTTCACCTAGAGGCCTGAGTTCAATTTCTACCATAAATTACTCATGAACATTAGTTGTTCTCCTGTTCATTTCCATTTGCACACAGCACTGAATCATTATGCAGGTCAACGTGATTGGCAGAGCACAATTATAACAACGGTGTTTGAGGTAAAGAGTAAAGTACACTGGAAGAGCTGTGTTCAAAACCTGGCACAGTGTTTGATTACAGTAGGCCCTGGACAACATGTGTATGTATTAATTTCTCGTGTTAATGAACAGAAAATTCATAGGAAAATTCTAGTCAAAGCAAAGTAGGAAGAGGAATTGAAACTCATTATTTCAAATGTGCAGAATTGTTGGTATAACAGTACTTGATTCTCAGTTCATTGCTAATTTTTCCATTTTTAAATAATTATTCCAGGTCATGGGAGATAACTTGCTATTGTCCTCAGTCTTCCAGTTTTCTCGGAAAATAAGGCAATCAATAGACAAGACAGCTGGCAAAATCAGGTAGGACAATTTTTTCTTTTGCTCACTCAAAAGTTTCTTTCTTAGATTCGCATTTCAGCCAGTAGTGAAATGCAGATTGTGTGGTAGATCAAGTACATTGGTACTCTTATCTACTTAAAAGGATACTATTACACTAGCGTCTCAGTGGTCAAGAAAGATTTTGACTTGTGAAGAGAATTAATTCCCTATTGGCAAAGGCATGACTGCTTGTAGAAATTATTCATATGATTTGAACAAAGATAGAGCAAGGTCTGTCATAACTTTTACAAAGGAACTAGTCTTCTGTTTCTGCTTACAGTAATCCTAACTTCGGTTCAAAATATGTCACATCTCCACCCAAACACATTAAAATTCCTATTCATTCTAAAGATCTCTAGTTGTATCTTTTATGCAAGAAGTCCAGCCTCAGAGAGAACTTTTTTTTTTCATTTTACTGACAGAAAACTTGAATTAAGGTTGCTTAGCAATGCCTCCCTTGTTGCTTTCCAGAATTTAGTAGTTAAGCTTCTGAAAATCATGAAATGTAAAGTTAAGGCAATGCCCAGGCATAGAAATTAAACTTCACCTATATGAATATGGTAATAGGCATTGGAAATACAAAAATACCCTTTAGCTATCTCTACCAAAATCTGTCATTTTTGTGTCTGCACAACACAGTAGATACTTGCAAGTTGTAAAACCGCATGCTACCATCTCTGAAGAGTTGCAGCTGTAGCTACAAGGATCAAAGATTCCTATTGTATGGTGTGTGAATTATGTAGGAGGTCAGATGGATGGTCACAATGATTCTTTTTAGCCACAAATTTTCAGAATCTATTTAAGAGTTTTATGAAGTTCTTTGCAGTTTCCATCAATACTGTTCTTCAAGCTCTTTATGTGACCTCTGTCTCTTAGGGAAAGGTTATGTTTCCATGATTTCTTTGAAAAGACTCGTTATGGTCACAATCAAAGGATAAAATTGTGACTTTTTCTTGCTGCAGCTGTTTTAAAGTAGTTAAGTTTGAAACTGTCTGGCAGTCTGTGGACTTTTCATATGGTCAGTCTTTCAGGTGTGTGTGTGTGTGTGTGAGTGCGTGCGTGCGTTCGTTGAGTGGTATGTTGGCCACAAGCAGCATGCTCAGACAGACTTATTGAGTTGATTATCTGCAATCACTGTCTGGTGTTCTCTTCAGGATTCATAATAGATTGTCTCCAATCCAGCTTCTTCCCTCTTTTACACCATTGAAATGGCTTAGACCCAGTACTTCGTCTTCATCCTCCTCAACCTGTCAGCTATGTTTGACACAGTTGACCATGCTTTACTTCTTAATAATTTGTTCTCTCTTGGCTTCCAGCACTTAGTCTGCAACTGGATCACCTATCTATCTTATTTCTTCAGTGTGTTGTTAGGAGGACCCTCCTAACAACTTTTGGGGACTGTCCTGGGGAAGGGTTTCACAGGGCTATGTTCTTGGTCTATTTCACGTCTCTGCATAATATTATTCACAAACATGACTTCAGTTATCTTTATGCCGAGGATTCAAATCTGCCTATTTACTTGGCTCCGTTTCCCTCTGTTCAAACTAAAATCTGTCTGTTTGTTAAAACAAACAAAAGGAAGTTTTTCTTCACGCAGTGTACAGTCAACCTGTAGTACTCCTTGCCAGAGGATGTTGTGAAGACCAGGACTTTAACAGGGTTCAAAAAAGAACTAGATAAATTCATGGTGGTTAGGTCCATCCATACTTATTAGCCAGAATGGGTAAGAATGGTGTCCCTAGCCTCTGTTTGTCAGGGGCTGGAAAGATGAGAGGTTGGAGGGCTGTAAACCAAGAAGGGCTGTAAAATGGAAGACCGTTAACAGATATTTGATGTGATAGAGAGGAATAAAGCAGTGGAAAGTTGCAAAGAAGGAGGTGATGTGATCAGGGCCATGGGCATTTGTCAAAGCCAAAATGGAAGTTGTAGTAGTTGAGACGTGATTGAGAGTCTGGGAAATAATTTTAGTGGTGTGAATGAGAAGTCTGCATTTTAGAGAGATTGCACAGAAAGAATTAGAACGTTTAAATATGACATCTAGATTAAGTACCTGACTGACAGAGAGAATGGTGGTGTTGACCATAATGATTGAGAAAAATGGAAAGGGGAGACCATGGGGGAAACAGATTAGGAGTTATGTTTGGCCAGGTAGAGCATGCATTGCTTCTTGAACCACCAAAAAGTGATGTCAGGCATAAAAACATAAGAATGTCCATACAGGGTCAGACCAAAGGTCCATCTAGACCAGTATCCTGTCTGCCAACAGTGGCAAATGCTAGATTCTTTAGAGGGAGTAAACAGAACAGATAATCATCAGATGATCCCTCCCCTGTCATCCATTTCCAGCTCCTGACAAACAGAGGCTAGGGACACCATTCTTACCCATTCTGGCTAATAAGTATCGATGGACCTAACACAGCCATGAATATATCTAGTTAGTTTTTGAACCCTATTAAAGTCCTGGTCTTCACAACATCCTCTGGCAAGGAGTACTACAGGTTGACTGTACACTGCGTGAAGAAAAACTTCCTTTTGTTTGTTTTAACCTGCCATCACCACTTACCACATTTTTACAAGCACCTTCTTGTTTTCTCCCCTGCCACCACTTAGACATTGAAGGTGCTCCCCAGAAGCATCCATAAACCCAACTCAGTGCCCTCCTTCAAATTCCTTCTTAAAACTTCTTGTTTGCCCTTACACACAAAAAATTTGATGGCCATTAAGCTGCCTATCATTCTGACCATTATTGGCTTATTGTTTTCTTGTACTGCCTCATCTCTCTATACGGACAGACCTGTTGTCTCTTGTCTTATACTTAGTTTGTAAACTGCTTGGGGCTGGTCTGGTCTTTTTGTTCTGTGTTTTAGCAATGCCTAGCACAGTGTGGACCAGGTCCATGATGGGAGCTCATAGGTGCTATCACAATAGAATTAATAAATAGTATTTATTTAAGCCCTATTTGGAGGTAATTAAACACCTTTCATTTTATACTTTATTTTGTTTTTACCCCAAGTTTCACCTTCCAAGTTTCACCTCCTTCACTTGCTTACAAAACCAGACATAAACACAAGTGCCACTGCACACTGTTACTGAAAAGTTGCTCACTTTTTCATTTATTACCATATAATTATAAAAAATCAACTGGAATATAAATGTTGTATGTACATTTCACTGTATAGTATAAACAAATCCTGTCTGTATTAAATTTTAGTGTACATTGACTTTGATAGTGGGTTTTATGTAGCCTTCTGTAGAACTAGGCAAATATCTGGATGCGTGGATATGCCTAAGGGTACATGTTTCGCTACTTGTGTTTACCTGTCCTATAGACTAGTAGTTCACAAGACACACTGTGAATGATTGACCAACATGCCTGATAGACACTTGAAAACTCATTGGAAATGCTAACACTTATTCTTTCAGCCATAATGCAAGAGAAAATTTGGAGTTTATATTGTGATACATGGGGTTCTGGGGAGCCAACTGAGGTCACTCAGGGAGCACTGCAAGAAATAGGATGGCCAATCCCCAAAGCTGGTGGTTATTCCAATATTTATATTCACCAAGCCAGCACAAAACCACTTCAGTATTTCCTTACAGGTCAATCCGAAGTACAATCCATACAGTTTTCTTTAAGTATCCAGCCTTAGGCCACCACTCAGGTATCCCAGCCAAATACAGTTCTACATAAAGCCCAATAAACATGTTACCTTCTAGGTCAGTGAAGATTTCAGAACTATCCCAAATACATGCTACCAACCACTTCTTAGTCCAGTTGTTAATCTTTTAACTCTTTAAACATATCTTAATATATATACTGTGATAGATCCAGGACAGCTAGCTACAGTAGCCTCGCCCTATTGGGGTCTGGGAAGTGGGTGAGTGTTAGCCTGCCCATATCTAAAGGACCCTCCCATAGCCTACAGGGAGGATCCAAAGAAACCTGAACGCCAACTGATTCCGGTGGGGTTTATACTTTATTCTAGGGAAGATGTGCTTCTCACCCTATATACAGTAAACTTCCGATAATTTGGCACCTTTAGGACCCAGGTGCTGCTGCATTATCAAATATGCCAGACTATTGGAAGGGGGGGCTATGAGGGGCCTAGGGTGGGCTGGTGGGGGGTGCCACCCCAGCCCTCTCATAGCCCCCCCTTCTGATAGTCCCGCTGTGCCCCAGGCGGCCCTGATTCAGCTGCTGCTGGTCAGTTTCAGCAGCGGCTGAATCGGGGAAGCCGGGAGCAGAGAAGCTGGGGTGCTGCCGGGTTGGTCCCGTAGTGCTGCCCTTCGGGACTGCGGGACCAACTCGGCAGCACCCCAGCTTCTCTGCTCCCGGCTTCCCCGATTCAGCCGCTGCTGAAACTGACCAGCAGCTGAATCGGGGAAGCCGGGCACAGAGCAGCTCCAATTGTCCAGCAGCCAGAGCACTTCCGGGTTCCTGATGGTGCCAGACCATCAGGAGTGCCGGAACATTGGATGTTGGACCAATGTAGTTTTACTGTACTTTCATTCTTATGTTTTCTATACAATAAAGTGCTTTATATATTGATAGCTTTCTATATAAGATATAGCAGTAGTTAGAGTACAAATGTAAAAAATTAGAAGTAATCCTCACTCTTACAAAATGCATTTCATCCTTTTAGTTGATGCATGAATATTCAACACTGTGTTATCTTCTTTAGCTGGCACAGGGGGGAGTGAAAACACTAAACGTAGTTTTCAGAGTTCCATAACTCAATTTCCCACTTCAGTTGTACTCATAATTAACTAGCAGCATTTTTAAAGTACAGTAAAATAATTTGAGTGCATTTTGTGTCAAATTTTCTAACTAGTCATATAACAATTTAAAAAATGCCTGGAAGAAGCAATATAGAATTTGGCTGAGATAATTTGGTTAATTCAACTTCAGAAGTATGATTGAAATTTCCAAAACACAAATTTCATCCAGCACAGCATTATAATAGTAACATGATCATCAGTGA